CTGCCCCCCCACTGCCTGAGTGGTAGTTACATAATCTGGTGTCAATTTGGGACTTGAGAGGATTAAGAGTGAGGGGGTGGAGTCTAGTCTGTCAATTGGGTCATAGCCAATGAGGCCTCTGTGTGGGGGTGGCCTTCTCCTGAGGATCCTGGGAACTCCCTGAGATGACGCTCTACTGACAAGACACATGGTGCTATGCCCTGGGAGCTGGAAAAGACACATGGACCTACCCTGATGCAACTAGACCTCTGGAGCAAGAGAAGCCAGGTAGAGACCCTTGCCAGTGCTGCGATGCTTACAACGCCACTGGATCCAGACGACTTCCAACCCACTGGCCTGTGATCATCCTGCATTCAGCATCATTGCATGTGTTTCGTGAGTCTGAAGAGGACTTTATAGATTGGTACCGGACATATGGGCTAATATCGGACTTAAGGACTTGATCTGGACTGGGCTGGGATGTTTTCTCAATATTCACTTGTTCTTGTATATAAACCTCTTTCTTATACACCTAGGGGTGTCTGTGGATTTGTTTCTCTAATCTACACGGGCTAACACAGCCTGTCTGATATTTTGCTTCCTCCATGCGCTCAGAATGTTCTATCAGAAGAGCTCATCTGTTTCCTTGGTGAACGGGGTGCTGTGGTGTAGAGAGGAGTCCCTGCGTGATGCAAAGGGTTGGGTACTGTGCTACTAACCCCAAGGCTGAAGGTGTGAGCCCACCCAGAGGCTCCTTGGCCGGAAGGCCTGGTGGTCTATTTCTGAAAGATGGCTTTCTTGAGGAACCCCACACAGCCCAGTACTACTCTGATGCACACGGGCTGCCAGGAGTTGAAGTCAGACGGCACCTGGCTGGGTTAGCACGGACAGGCTTCTCCTCCCTTACCCCCATTGCCTGGACAAAAAGCTCAAGGAGAAATGAAATGCAAAGATCGTGGAATTTGTTGGTGAATGTTTGGAAGCACCCTCCTAGCACCCTCCTGGGCAGCCTTGACTGATGAGAAGCATCCATGAGTCTCTCTTCTTGCCGGGAAGACTCCAGCCAGGCCTTGAACTTCCTGTTCTCGTTCTTGGAGCGTGATCTCATACCCATGGAAGGCTACGTCTTCTTAGTTGGGAGGTCTTGGAGTTTTTGTGTAGGTCTAAGTCCCAGGCCAGACATGGTGAGAGGCTGAGACGAAGGAGAGTGTGTGTGCTAGACTGTTGCCCCCACCCCACTCCAACTCCCGACAGGGCAGGAAGCCTTTCATGCAGGCGCCTCAGGATCCTGGGGGCCTTCTGGATTTGCTCCCTGCTTTCCTGTTGGTTTGGGAATGGATTTGTGGATTTGTGGTTTCCCACGTAATCAAGAAATCTCGTGTTTAAACCCTGCTCTGCGCCTGGGCTGGGCCTCTTGTAAAACCTTAAAATGCAATGTTATCAAAGCGCCTCTCAGGCATGAGTGTAAACATGAATGTTTTAAATGAGCTTGTGTGCGGTCACGGGGATTCTAAATGTCACCCTCCACCAGTCCCCACTTGATTTGGGCCAGAAACGTGACACTCCAAGCGGGGGAGGGGGAGCCAGAGGAGGGAGATGGAGAAGGAACCAGAGCGGGCTCCAGCTTCCTGGCAGAGAGCCTTAAGGCAGAGCTGGGAGGGTGGGGGGTGGGGGCTTTCCCTCCACCCCAGGGTGTTCAGTTCTCACAGGCAGGTCTTCTCAATCGGCACCTCACTGGGACAGGGGAAGATGCGTGTACTGTGTGCGTGGCGGGCGGTGGTGGTACTAAAGAGGGGCAGTGAAAACAAGGAAGACTCTCCACAAGACGGATGGAAACCAGAGAACGATTGTGAGGACGCTGGTTAGAGGAAGAAACTGTCCACGCTGGCCGCTCCCCACCTTCCAGGACACAGCTCGCTCAGGGTAGTTAGTTTAGAGGCATATACTGTACCCGCAAATTTCTTTCTAGAAATCTCCGAGTCCTCCAGCCCCACGTCTCGTTGCAAGGAGAGACTCCCTCTATTCCCTTGGGAGCACAAGCCTGGGGGACTCACCAGCTGGGAGTCTGAGAGATGGACAGGCTCTGCCCTCTAGACCCTCTAGAGCAGCGGTTCTCAACCTGTGGGTTGCGACCCCTCTGGGGGTCGAAGGACCCTTTCACAGGGGTGCCCGATTCATGACAGTAGCAACCTGACAGTGATGAAGTAGCAATGACAATAATGTGATGGTTGGGGTCAGCACCACATGAAGAACTGTACGAAAGGGTGGCGGCATGAGGAAGGTTGGGAAGCACTGCTCTAGGGAGAAGTACCTGTGGCCAGCGGCAGCCATCTGCGCTGGGACCTCTGCCTCCAGTCTTTTCCTTTCTAAGGTCTCACCTTGGCTGCTGCTGCGGTTAGGTGCCTTCCAGTCGTCTCTGACCCCTAGCGACCCTGTGGCCAACAGACAGGCACTCCACACAGGCCTGCACCCTGCTTACTACTCTTCTGCCTGAGCCCATCGCTGCAGCCACGGTTCCGTTCCTGGACTCCATCACTTCTTCCATTTACCTTAGCAAGTTTCAGTGTCTCTTCTGACATCCATCCACACTGATCTGTCCTTTCCTGTTTTGTTTTGTTTTTAATGACATTTTGCTCTCTTCATGTAGGATGGTCTTGAACTCATCCCACAACGCCTCAGGTCTTAGGTCACTACTATGCAATGTGTCAAGTCTGTTTTTGAGATGGTCTTACAATCCTGGTGGGGTAGACTCAAGGTCATATTTGGCTCACATGGACTTGTTTAATTTTCTTCAGCTTTAACCTGAACTTACAGAGGAGCGACTGATGGCCTGTTTCACAGTTGGTCCGTGGCTTGCTTTTGGCTGCTGATATTGAACTTCTCCCTCATCTCTTCCTTCTTCAAAGTCGTTTCTTAGCCTAGAAGCTCTGCTGAAACCTGTTCACTATGAGTGACCCTGCTGGTCTTTGAACTACCAGGGACACAGCTCCCAGCATCACAGCAACACACAAGCCACCGCACACAGTACAACAAACTCACAAACAGTGGTCCCACCTTGGCCAGGTGAGACTATTTCTCAGCATTCTGTTTTCCTATGTGTTTTTGGATTAGGGTGGGCCATGGAGATTCTTGTGGAAGATGTGGAAGGTGGAGGGAAGGAGTTGGGGCTCGGCTGATGCACTTTCTGGATGCGATGCTGTGGCCAGGCCACAACTACTTCCCTGGGACCCTCTGTCCCTTGGACCCTCTGGGCCAAGCACTTAGCTTCTGCAAGACACCCACCTCACCAAGTGCAGAAGCCATCAGAACAGATATGGGCCCATCCTCATGGACTCCCCGTGGTTCCTTATGCCACTTCACATTCCTCTTTTCTTGCCAGTGACCCCGAGTGTGGCTCTCAAGCTCTCGTCCCTGAGGGCACAATGATGGCCTGACAGAGATGTTTAACCAGCCCCCACAGTTGCCCCAGTGTCAATGTCAAATCCCTGTAGCAAGTTTAGATTTATATCCTTATGTGTGTCCATCAATTCATCCATCCATCCATCCATCTACCCATCTATTGACCTACCTACCTATACCTTTTAATGCTTCTGTTTTCTTCTCTGATTAATTGCTGATATAGGTATTGATTATCTTGCATGATAGAGGATGGAGGAGAGTGTTGGGTTCACTCCAAGGAGCTCAAGGTTAAGCACACATATTGGAATCCCTTGGAGGGCTTGTAAAACTCCAGATGGATGGGGCCCCCCTCAGAGTTTTTGATTCTCAACTTTGGGTTGGAGCCTAAGAATTTACATTACAAATGACACTGATGTTGCTGGCCTAGGGACCACATTTTGAGAGGACTGTTTTATGGTGCTGTACGCAAAGGTGGTGGTGGTGGTGGTGGTGGTGGTGGTGGTGGTGGTGGTGGTGGAGGAGGAGGATAGGCACTGTTGAGTTAGTTTTGACTCATAGCAATCACTTGTAATACACAACAGAAAAAAACACTGCCTGATTCTGCACCATCTGCACAATTATTATATTTGAGGTCATTGTTGAGGTCAGTGTCAATCCATCCCCAGGTTCCTGCAGCCCAAACCTGAAGGAAGGCCATCTATAGCAATACCTTCACTTGCCGGCATCAGGAATCCTGGGGGCCCTCCAGGATTCTGAGGGAAGGGGGGAAATGAGAAGCCTGAATCAGGCCTGCTTCTCAGTCTGGGCCAGTGGGGGGAGAGTACAGGCTTTGGGACAGACTGACCCACGTATGCATCATGACTCTGGGGTCTGTCCTTGGTCTGACAATGATGATGGTGCTTCTACGACGAGAAGCTCTATGGAATATACGAGTATGTTCCATAAACGCCGCTGCTTTTCTTGCTTAATACTCCTTGGGTCTCTCGCGTGGATTTTGCTACTGATGATTTTGCAATGTGCCATTGAATTTTTGAATCTAAGTGCAAGACTCTTCATGGCTCTAGATGGTTTGATCTGTATTCACTGGGTTTAACCCATTGTTCTCGCCTGCTGAGATACTCCTGAAGCTTGCAATCATCCTTTGGCCTGTGTGTGGCTTCTCAAAAGGTAGAGAGTAGCCTGCCTGCTATTTCTCCCCATTAGCATTGCTGGGACTGTATTCCGTGTTTTAGGACAACAGTGGGTAGGAGAGTGGGCTTTGCACTTGAACTCAAAGAAGAGCTCTCTACTTCAACATCTTGGGAACCCTGGCTTGGAAGCTGCCTTTATTATTTCTGACAGTCTTTGCACTCAGATTGGAAACACCCACTCCCCCCCCACCCTTTTCTTCTTAAAATATGAGTGGCAGGGAAAGAAGGGGCCTTATGGACTAACTCCATTGATCTTCGATTCTCCCTCACACTCATTAATCCAGAGCCTGGGAGCTACTGCATCTCACACGTGGTGGTTCCTAGTCTCTGGGCAGCCTCAGCCTAACTGACTAGTTTTGAGAAAAGGTCCCTTTGGGTCTTCTCCTCATTGGCTCTCTTCCCCATGAACAAATCATTAAATCTAGAGCAAACTTCAGAACAAACTTCTTAGAACATTTAATCTTTTCAGAGCTGGGTGGACTGAAGTACATGGGAATGGCCGTGTTTGCCAGCATCAGGCACAGGGGTCCTTCGTGGGCTGGGCTGGCCGCCCTGGCTGCACTGCAAGCTCACCAGGCCTTTGGTCAGCCTCTGCCTCAGAACATTCTTAAGAAGCCATGGTTTCCTCCTTAAACCCGGATCTGCGGTGGGTCTTTCTTCTTTACCTCTGCCCAGATGTCTGATAGGTCTTGGATGAATTGCTGGATCTAACAAGGCAAAAGGATCAGGGTTAATCCATCCAGGGAGAGGGCTCCCCTACCCCAAGTTGAAGCACCCCAGGGTCTAATGTGACTCTTCGGTGATTGACTTGCTGAAAGTCTCGGGTTTAGAAACACCAGGTAAGTGTGGAAGTGTGAGTGTGGAATTGTCAACTCCCCGAGGGTGACAGGGTAAAGAAGTGATTTTAGGTGACGTGGGAGGAAGTTACTCGGACTCCACAGTGAAAAGGTTATTCCCTTGAAGAGAAACTCTCAAATTGGTATTTAGACGACTTTAACACTTCTCTAAACTTGCTGATTGTCCTTCCTATCAAAATAGCCCTCGAGTGGAAGTCTTCAGCAAGTCACAGTATCTGACTAGAGGTTAAGGAGACTGTTTTGCTCCACGAAAGAATTTAGGAATGGGTTCTTGCTCCGGCCAACCTTGGCCTACAGATCTTAATGCTAAGACAGCGGTTCTCCAAGTGCGGAACGCAGGCCTGCAGGATCACCTGGGTTATTGTTGAAAATGTAAACTCTCTGCCTCCCATCTCAGATCCCTTGAGTAAGAGTCACTGAGGCTGAGGGCCAGCAATACTCTCCAAGTGATTCTGATGTCTGCTAAAAGCGGGCACTCACGGCTCCATTGGAAAGGAACCTTAGTGGCCCAATGGTTAAGCAGTTCGGCTGCTAACTAAAAGGTTGGTAGTTCAAACCTACTTGCTGCTCCAAGGGAGGAGGAGGCATGGCAGCTTGCTTCCATAAAGATGTACCGTTTTGAGAACTCTGTAGGGCAGTTCTGGGCCATCCTTAGCATCAATGTGAGTTGGAATCAAGGGGCTTGGGCTTGGCTCTACGGGGTTCATTCCTCTGCTCCACAAATCGACAGTGTGTCAGGTTCAGTCCACTCAACCACTCCCAGGTGCCTGTCCCTCCCCCTACCATGTCCAGCTGTTTGTGAGTGTCCTCCAGTGACACGTTGGTCATCTCCTTCAGTTGCTTGCTCACAATCTGGAAGAGGTTCAGGGTCGCCATCTTTATGGTACCCAGCAGGAGGGTCTTCTTGGCAGCTGTGTTTTGTATGTGTGCCCACCGCGATTCCTGGATCATGGGTGGAGAGAGGAAGAGTGTGGAGGGGGGGAGAGCTGGCGGCCTGCTCACCCCCCCACTCTGGGCCCCCCCAGCCCCCGCACGGCGGCCACGCCTCCTCACCCAGATGATGACATCACTGCGTGCACGGTCAAAGCGCATCTGCAGCCGCGCGAGCTCGTTGTTGTGCTGCAAGATCTCGTCGTCCTTCTCCTCCATGTATCGGGCCAGCCGCGCCTTGGCTCGCTCGATTTTCTCCTGGCCTTCCTGGGCTGACTGCATGAGGTCGTGGTGCATACTCACCAGGGTCTTGTAGCGTGCAATGACCTCATGAATCTCCTCAAACTGGGGGTGGGGGGGGTAGGGGGGGGACTTGGGTCACTGCGCTGCCAAGGGACTGGCCTAGTGCAGAGGGCTCGGGCCAGGGGTAAGGAGCCAAGGTCGTGAGGATGTGGGAGTCCCATATCTCCTGGGTTGGTATGGATCATGACCTATGGGTGGGTAGGGTGCAACTAGGCTGGGAATTCTCCATCTTGGCTGGATGTTTGAATCATGAGTTGAGCTTAAAAATATATATATATAATGGTAAAAAGACACCTGTTAGGCTCCGCCCCCAGGAATTTGGATGAATAAACAGATCCGAGGTGGTCCTGGCATCCGAGTTTTGTAAAAGCTCCCCTGGGTGATTCAAAGTCCATCCAAGGGGACCATTGTGAGATGACTTCCAAGCCAATGTGGGGGTGGAGCAGGGATGGGATGTCTTCCAAACCAACATAGGTGTTGTGAGGGTTCAGTGGTGAAGTTATTGCCTTCTGTGCAAGAGACCGGGGTTGAGGTCCCAGCCAGCACACCTCAGACACAGCCACCATGCACGCATCTGTCAATGAGACGTGTGTCTTGCTATGTTCCCAAGCAGGTTTTCATCAGAGCCTCCTTGGCTAAGACAGACTGAGAAGAAGGCCTAGCAGTCCACTTCTGAAAACGAGTCCCAGAAAAGCCTATGGATCACAATGGCCTGGTCCGCTACCTGCCACGAGGGCGGCACAGACTGGGCAGTATTGGGGCTCATTGTCAGAGGGTCATGAGCCAATGGCCCACTCAACTGTCGGCACCAACCACTGCCCAAGGCAATCACTCTGTTCCCAAACATGTACAAGAGCCGCATACAAGGCAGGGCCTGTGCGAAGACAAGAAAGCCAGACTCTGCTTTAATGGAGCAGGTAGGAAGGAGAACAGGCAGCTGAGTAAATAGCCACCGCATCCCAGAGTGAACCCCTTTCTATGAGGGGGCTCAAGCAGGCCAGGGGTTGCACCGATGGTGTGGTCCTGGGCCATGATTACCTCTGTCATACCCAAGGTCACCATGAGTCAGTGTCAACAACCACTCACCACAATAACAACATGATTTGCCGACAAGGCTGGGCTTAGATGTATCCAGTTGGACCTTGGTGCTCCTTCAACCATTGAGTTTTCTGGTATTATTCAGCAGTTACTGGTATTTGTTTGGGAGAAGGGGAGGTGGAAAGGGCCCAGCAGGGCAGGTGGCCTTCCAAGCTCAGCTTGTCTCCTCTGGCATAATCCAGAATGAACGCACTGGGATCCTAAACCACAGGCCCCACTGGGTGGAGAAATCGTGAGCCCACACTCCCTAGAAAGCAGTATGAGCACAGGTTGCTGTGACTCCAGACGCACTTCCCCAGAGATGTGTGGGACTGCGGACATTCTGTACTGCAGGGAATTGAGACACCGGGGGCGGGGGGACGGGGACAAGTCCTTATCTGTACTGCCAAGAGTTCCACTCTGAACGCAGGGAAACTCCCGCTGTGGCTAAGATGATTGGGCGAAGGCAGCGCTACCAGGGACAGGGACCCATCTCAGAAACGTCACCTCGTGGCCAAAGGATTAGGGTGCCACCTTGAAAAGGCTCCCATTGTGCAAAGACAACGCAATCCCAACATGAGGGTCAGCAATACGTGCAGAGGATTGAAACAGACAGACCTGGTTCAAATCCATGAATCTATCATGATACTGAAAAACCCTTGCAGGTCATTTTTGGAGGGTGCAGGGGAACTGACTCTTTATTCCTGAAAGTTAAATAAAAATCAAGGGTCTCACAAACACTTCTTTAAAGGTCACTGAATCAAGTCACTGTCGTGCCCATCACCCTAGATGACGTTGACCGGTTTTTAAGCAGACAAATGGAAGCAGACAGTGTCTCCATCCTCCCGTGTCTGGCTTCCTTTGCTCAGTCTAATGTCTGTGACACAAAACACGCCAAGCAAGCACCGTGTGTGCGACTCAATTGGACCCTGACAGGAGCAAACCGGAGAAAGTGCAAACAGCATTAATGAGAGAACTGGGGACATCTTCACATTGACTAAAAGTTTAATATTAAAGAATTGCTCCCAAATTTGTAGCTAGGGGTGGTAATGGCATTGTGTATATGTCTCAAAAGAGCCCTTTGCTTTTAGAACTATAGACCGAAATGCTTAGGGATTAAAAAAATATTATTTGCTTCCAAATGGTGGGGGTCGGAAGGGGTGGGGGATAGGTGTTCGTTGTTGGAACTAAACAATGAGTCACGGGCATGTGCTGCACGGTTCTCTCTCTCCTTTCCTACGTGTCTAAACAGCATCCCTGGTTAGAAAAAGCAAGTGGCAGAAGGATATGTATCATACTATTTATAGTTTGTGGATATGACTAATGAGCTCAGCAGTGAACCCAAAGGTTGGAAGTTCAAACCTCCCTAGAGGCACTTTGGAAGAAAGGCTTTCCAATTCGCATTTGAAAAAAATCATTCAATGAAAACAGAGTAGCATAGGTCTACGCCGATATGCAAGAGGTTGCCATGAATCGGTGTCAACTTGACTAAACCAGTAATAAGAGACAAAAGAATACAAATTAGCATAAACAAGGAAACTCCCTGCCATCATGTCAATGCCAACTCCTTGGGACCCTATAGGACAGGGTAGAACCTTCTGTGAGTTTTCGAGGCTGTAACTGCTTAGCAGGCGTAGAAAGCCCCGTCTCTCTCCTGTGGAGGTGCTGCTGGTTTTGAACTGCTGACCTTGAGGATCGCAGCCCAATGTGTAACCACAACACCATCAGGGTCCCTAAATAAGCAAGGGAATGATACATTTGAAAACCAGGAGACTGGTTCACTCTAAGGGGAGGGAACTAAGGATGAGATTTCAAAGCGGGCACCAAAGGGGTTTCAACTACCCTGAGTGTTTTATTTCTTAAACAAAGTAGAATCCAGGCCAAACAGGCAAAATGGCTACGGTTTGGCAAAGCTGGGTGGTGACTATTTGGGTGCTGTTAGATGTTTCTGGGTTCTTTTTGCATGCTTAAAATAATGGGAAAGGGGTGGAGGAAAGAAGGAGGTGGAGGAGGAGGAGGAGAGGGAGGGGGGATGGGAAAGGAGGGAAAGAGGATGCAAAGCAGGAGAGAAGGGGGCAAACAAAGGAAGGAGGGAGGGTCGTGTTGGGTGTAGAACACCACATAGGCTGTCCAGAAATAACACAAAGTTGAACTCCACATGAAATACACTGGTGGTCTGGCTGAAGGCGAGGGCAGGGGATGGATTCCAGAAATACCACAGAGGCAGAATACAGCAGATCTGGTGATGGATGGGTGTGGGGAGAGAGAGGGAGGGAGGAGTCACAGCTGAGGCCTGGGTGGGTGGCCCTGCTGTTCCCCAGCAAAGGACACAGCGGCAGCAGGGCTGGCTTGCTGCTGGCCTGGGGGTGGCAGAAAGCAGATGAATTGAGGTGTGATCACAGAAGATAGATCCAATGACCTGAAGCTTAGGAGAGAGACACTGGCCAGAGATAGGCTCAAAGGCCTCTGTTCTGAATTTGAGACCTACCATACCATCCATTCATCTGCTTCTTTAATAGGGTGACAGCCAGTTTCCATTAAGCAGGTTTCATCACACGATGACCCCAGGTATTGCAGAGTGGAACTACACAACCATGTGGTTTCACGGCTGTGCCCTTTCGGAAGCAGATCACCAGGCCTTTCTTCCAAGGTGCCTCTGGGTGGGTTCAAACGGCCAACCTTTCGAGTAGTAGGAAGAAAGGAGAGCTATCCAATTCTGGATGTGAGTCACTGAGAACTTTGTGAAGAGCAGCGGAACCTTGTCTGACTGAGCGCTGAAAGATAAGCCTCTCAAGTCGGAAGACACTGAACATCCGGCTGGGAGAGAGCTGCCTCCTCAAGGCAGCCATTAAGGCTGCTTAAAAAATTCACTTTATTCGGGGCTCTTACAACTCTCCTAACATGCCATACATCCATTGTGTCAAGCACACTTGTACATATGTTGCCATCATCCTTTTCAAAACATTTTCTTTCAACTTGATGAGCTCTTGGTACCAGCTCCTCGGTTTTTTCTCCCTCCCTCACGCTCCCTCCCTCATGAACCCTTGATAATTTATAAATTATTGTTATTTTCATATCTTACACCGATCGCTGTCTCCCTTGACCCATGGGTGAATTTATAATTTATATTTTATAATGATAGAAATATATATATTATATAAATGCATATATATTATATAATATATAAAATTTATAAAATTATAATTGCATAATTTCTAAATTATTGTTATTTTCCTCTCTTACACCGCTGTCTCCCTTCGCCCACGGGTGGGGGTGCTTATACGTCGATCATTGTGATCAGTTGCCAAGGATGCTTAATGATTTAGATAAAGCAAAACTTCATTTGCTGATGGGGCACCATCAAAAAGAGAAGAAATGGCTGCAAATATCTATTAATAATCAGAAAATGATACATCGTATAAATCTAGGAAAATTGGAAGTTGTCAGAAATGAAATGGAACACATAAAGATAGATATTCTAGGCATTAGTGAGCCGGAATGGCCTGATATTGGCCATTTTGAATCCAACCATCATGTAGGGATTGGAAAAGAACGTTGGAACATTGAGGGCCAGTCGGTAGTTGGAAACTCTAGCCTCGCTGAGAGAAATGAGACTCGGAGATCACATGCTGGACCCATTGCAAGTGCATTTTTCAACAGCATAAATGGTGATGATATACGTGGACCTCACCAAAAGGAATGCAGAGGAATCAAATGGATGACATCTGTGGTTAGAGATGATGGAGAAGCTTGATATCATCAGTTCAACTATGGAACGGACCATCAATTGCTCATAATCAAGTTCAAGTGGAAGCTAAAGAAAATCTAAACAACCCTACGAGAGCCAATACAACCTTGAGCATATCCCAGTTGGATTTAGAGGCTAGCTCAAGAACAGATTTGACACATAGAACACTAATGACCAAAGACCACGTGAGTTCTGGGATGACAACAAGAACATTATGCAGGAAGGGAAATAAAAGATGATTAAAAAGAAGAGACCAAAATGGGTGTTAGAGCCTCTTCTGAATCTTGTTCTCGAATGCAGAGAAGCTAAAGTGAACGGAAGAAATGATGAGGTAAAAGAGCTAAACAAAAACATTTTAAAGGTGACTTAAGAAGACAAAGTAAAATATTATAATAGCATGTGCAAAGATCAAAGGGGAAGAACATGTTTTGGATTTCCCATGCTGCAAGAACTGAAGAAAAATCCAAGCCTTCACTTGTAATAGTAGAGCATTCTTTGGGCAAAATATTGAACAATGCAAGAAGCATCAAAAGAAAATGGAAGGAATACAGAGAGCTGCTGTACCAAACATAGTTGGTCTATCTCCCAACATCTCAGGAGACAGCATATGACCAAAAATTGATGGGACTGAAGGAAGAAGTCCAAATTGCACTGAACGCACAGACCCAAAAAGAAAGAAAGAAAGGCGCTAGGAATGTAGGGAATACCAATTGAAATGCATCAACAAATTGGTGCTCTGAGTAAGCAATAGAGGTGCTTACTCATCTATGCCCAGAAACCTGAAAGACAGATAAATGAACAACCAACTGGAAGAGATCCATGTTGTGTCCATTCCAAAGAAAGGTGACCCAACAGAACGAGGTCATCCGCAAACAATATCATTCGTGCTACTGAAATTTTGCTGAAGGTAATTAAAAATGGTTGCAGCAGAACATAGGAAAGGATCTGCTAGAAATTCCAATCAGATTCAGAATAGGACGTGGAGCTAGGGATATCCATGCTGAGGCCAGATGGCTCTGGGCTGAAAGCAGATAACACCAGAAAGATGTTTATCTTTGCTTTATTGACTGTGCAAAATAATTTAACGGCGTGGAAAATAATGGATAACATTAGGAAGAATGGGAATTCCATAACACTTCATTGCACTCATGTGGCACCTATACATAGATCAAGAAGCAGTCATTTTCATTGGGCCTCTACTCAAGTGCTCCCTCAACGCAAGAACACTTTGTTCTAATAACCTGACATTCCGTGATGCTTACCTTCCCAACATGATCGCTGAAGACAAACTGGTATATAAGCAAATGTGGTGAAGAAAGCTGATGGTGCCTGGCTATCGAAAGATATAGCATCTGGGGATCTTAAAAGTTTGAAGATAAACAAGCAGCTATCTAGCCAAGAAGCAACAAAGTCCACATGGAAGAAGCACACCAGCCTGTGTGATCATGAAGTGTAGATGGGATCAGATATCAGGCATCAAATACAGAAAACAAAACAAAAAATCATATTGATGTGAATGAATGGGGGCAGAGTGGAGATCCAAAGCCCATCAGTAGATAATTGGACATCCCCTGTCATAAGGGCCACAAGGAAGAGATGAGCCAGTCAGGGTGCAGTATAGCACCGATGAAACACACAACTTTCCCCTAGTTCTTTAAGGCATACACACACACACACACACACACACACACACACACTCATGACCCCAATTCTACCTTACAAATCTGGATAGATCAGAACATGTACACTGGTACAGATAAGAGCTTGCAACACAGGGAATCCAGGACAGATAAACCCCTCAGGACCAATAATGGGAGTAACGATACTAGGAGGGAAAGGGAAGGGTGGGGACACTGATTTCAATGATCGACATTTGGCCCCCTCCCAGGGGGACAGACAACATAAAAGTGGGTGAAAGGAGACAGTGGTCAGTGTAAGATATGAAAAAATATATTTATAAATTATCAAGGGTTCATGGGGGAGGGAAAAATTAGGAGCTGATACCAAGGGCTCAAGTAGAAAGAAAATGTTTTGGGAAAGATGATGGTAACATAGGCACAGATGTGCTTGACACAATAGATATATGTATAGATTGTGATTAGAACTGTAAGAGCCCCCAATCAAATTTTAAAAAAGAAGAAGAAGCAGCAGTCATTTTTAACACAGCTAGGGGAAGCTAAATGGTTAAAAACCCATACAGGTATATGCCAGGGAGGCGTCTTTTCACCATGCTCATTCAATCTGTACACTGGGTAAGCAATCCACGAAAGTGGGCTATGTGAAGAAGAACGCAGCCTCGGGATTCAAGGACCCAGGGACAATCTCCAACGAGCAAAGGACACAACTGCCCACTGAAAGGGAAGCGGACTTGAAGCACTAATTAGTGAAGCTCAAAGACGGCAGCCTTGTACTTGGTCAAGGAGAGCGTCCCTGAAAAAGAGATCGGCAGTGACAATCAGCTCAAACAGCACCAAAGGACGGAGTGGTGTCTTTTTACTGCTGGTCATCGGGTCACTATGGGTTGGCACCAACTCAACAACACAGAGCAACAGGGACCGGCAAGTTCTTAGGACAGTGCTGGGACACCAAACCAAAGCCAAACCGACTCCCAAGGAGCCGATGCCAACGTAAAGCAACCCCAGGGCAGGGTAGAACCCAGACTGTAACCTTCACAGGAGCAGAAAGCCTCAACTTTCTCCCTCGGGGTGCCTGGCGGTTTCAAACTGCTGACCTTGCAGTTGGCAGTCCAACATGCAGTCAGTTATGCTACCAGGGCTGCTCGCCTGGTACGCAGTAGGTACCATTGAAGAGTTAGCAAAGAATAGAATCCAATTCTAAAAGCTTCAGGGAAGCTTCCTCACGGCAAAGATGAACCTGTGGCTCAAGCCAATCCTGACTCGCAGCAACCCCAGGCATGTCAGAGTCGAGCGGAGTTTTCCAGGGTTTGGGGCAATATCATCAGGCCTTTCCCCCAACGTGCCTCTGGGCGGGCGCAAATCACCAAAGGCTCCGTTAATAGTCGAGTGCCGTCCAGATATTCCAAAGGCGATCGCCAAGCTTTCTACTCAATACCCAGCCCAGGACAACCATTTCTTTTCATCTGGAAACTTCCACCCTGTGGAACAAAAGCTTTCCTGGGGGGGTGGGGGGGGATCCCAGAGGATATCGGGGCCTTGGAAGCACAGTGCCTGTGAGCTCAGAGTGTGGGGGAGCTGAGAAGGGAGAAGACGTGAACTCTGATCCCCAAGGCTGGAGTCCCACTGCTCCTGGGTTCAGGAGGCTCACTGTGATGCTGCCATTTTGTCTTGAGAGAGCGAGCGAGCAAA